TCTCCTTTCCTCTCTGCTCTTTCCTCCTCCTGTTTCCGGCAGGGCCTCCGCCCTCTCGCCCTCTTCTCCTCCTCCTCCTCCTCCTCCTCGGGCGCCGACGCTCACGTCGGGTCCTGGCGTCAGACGCGCCGGGGCGGGGCGAGGGCCGCGTGCGGTATAAGTAGAGGGTGCAGGAGGCGGTGCTTCCCCTTCTCCCCGGCGGTTAGTGCTGAGAGTGCGGAGTGTGTGCTCCGGGCTCGGAACACACATTTATTATTAAAAAACCCAAAAAAAATCTAAAAAAACCTCTTAAAAAACCCAAAAAAAATTTAACAAAAAAGTCCGCGTCTCCCCCCCGCCGGAGACTTTTATTTTTATTTTTTCTTCCTTTTTATAAAAATAACCCGGTGAAGCAGCCGAGACCGACCCGCCCGCGGCCCCGCAGCAGCTCCAAGCAGGAACCCAGAGACCGAGGCCTTCTCGCCGCCCGGACCCGACCCCGCAGCACCTCGCCCCCAGCCGGCAGCCAGCGGCCAGCGGCAGCGGACCGACCCCCGTCCTGCGGCGGCTGTTGAGTAGTTGTCGATTCCGCTCGATTTTTGTTTCCTCCGCGCTCGCCCCCGCTCCCCTCCCCAGGCGCCGCCCCCGGCCCCGGCCCCGCACTCGCTCCCCTCCGCTCACGGAAAAGGTCGCGGCCTGTGGCCCCGCGGGCAGCCGCTCCGAGATGAAACCCCAACGCCTCCAGCTACCCGATGGCCTCGCTCTACTGGGGGGACCTCCACCCCGACGTGACCCGAGGCGATGCTCTACTAAAAGTTTAGCCCGGCCCGGGGACCACATCGTGGTTCCGGCAGAGAAACGGATCAACCAGTCCGCTCCGTTGGCTACGGGTATGTGAACCTCCCGCAGGCGGGCGGACGGTGAGCGCCGGGCAGGCGGGGCGCGCCGTCAATGGAGTTCCCGCGGGCGGGCTAGGCCGGGGGTTCCAAGGGGGAGGGGGCCCCCGGCAGGGCATTTCACACCCCCTGCCCCCGAGGTCGGCGGGGAGAGAGGTGGGGCGCCCGGCCCCCGCCCCGGCACCCCGGCGGGAACACGCGCCGCCGGCAGCCGCACGCCTTTCTCACGCCCGGCCCACTTCTCCTGTGCAAACCATTTTCTCGGCCTCCGCCGCTCAAACTTTAGGGTGATGTCGCGCCGGGCGCGGGGTGGGGGTGGGGAGGGACACGTGAGATTGGGTTCTCCGCGGCGCTTCCGCCCGCAGCCGCGGGGGGCCGGGGAGCCGGGCGAGCGCGGAGCCCCCTTTCCGGGAGCAGGTAGGGGCGCCGCCGCCACCCAGGCTCCGGCCGGCGCCCCGGCCCCGGGAGGAAGTGCGGTTCGGCGCCGGGGAGGCAGCACGTGTTGAGCCCCGTCACCCCGCAGGCCCGAGGCCCGCCTCTGCGACCGGCCCCGTCTCCTGGGAGAGCCGCGGGGCCGGGGGAGAAGGTGGCGTGGCGTGGCGGGGCCGCGGGGGTCCCCCGGCCTGATGCCATTCCTCGTTCTTCACCGCCCGCCCGGGGCTGTCGGCCCCAGAAATGCCCGTTCCCGGGGGCCATGCGCCCGGGGTTTTCCCCAAGTTCAAGCGCTTCTCCCTCCAACAGCGGGGGGTGGGGTGGAGGATGGCCCCATGGAAGGCCATCGTTTTTTGGGGGAGTTTAGATCGTTCAAATTTTGTAATCAGGTTAGTTTCGTAATACCGGTTATTCAGAATAATTGTGTTTTTTTCTCTTCTAAAATAGTTCCTATGATTTTGAGGGGCTTTAGTTAAAAAAAAAATGTATTCACAGGTGTTGGCTGTAAAGTGTTACCTGTGAACGCGGTGTGGACTGGGTCATCATTACTTAGGGGGCCTTGGAGTGGTTCAGGCTTCTTTTTTAAAAAGCAGCCTAGAATGTCCGTAAGGCGTGAAGAACGATGGAGTTTTGAATAGCAGATTCTAATTAGCTTGACTTATGGGAAATATTTTTCTAACCTTGTGTTTTTATTTTGAAGTTCACAAGAAAACACAAAATTTGGTAGATGGAATATGTGGCCTGATGCATATGGCCAGGGTTTTTTCTTTATATCTGGATCAATTGAATTCCAAGTCAGCTTCAGTGGATTTAATTTTGTAGAAAAGGCCTTAAGCCAGAGTAGAATTTAAACGTTTATTTTATTAAATTCACTTAGTATAACAAGTTACTTAATTATCAGCATTTCACTGGGTCAAGTTAATAATTGAGATTTTGGGGAGGCAGACTATTGTGACACTGGACCAGAAGTTGTAAAACTGCACTGCAGGTTTCCTGCCCTTTTGCTCTGTAAGCAGCGCTTCCAGATGTCACTTCACACCAGTTCTTTGTAACTCTGGGCACGAGTCATCACTGAACAGAAGAGAAAGTAATACTAGGGAACATAAGTTTGGGTCAGGTAATCACAATCTAAAAAGTTGATAGAAAACTTGAACAAATTCTACAGACCAGAAAATGGTGACTTGAAAAGTGGCTTTCATTTTTTCTAAGCTTAACTATTTGAAATCCAAAGAAACAACTTTTTTAATTTCTTGGGATTTGAAAAAAATGGAATTACCATGTTAAAATATACCCTGTGTATTATCAATATATCAATAGAACAGCGCTAGGACTACTCATTAGAGAGAGCATTTTTCCATCTTCCATTTATTTGTTTTCTAAATGTACAAATTACTATCCTTCCAAATAGTTTTTCAGTGGTTTCTTTTCCCCCCCCTCCTATTTATTGCTACATGAATGGATTTGTAGAATAACTTCTGAAAGTGACCAGTTTCTAATTTAGCAGGAAGAGGACTCATTCAAAAGAAGCTTAAGCAAAGTCAGCTAAAAAACTAGGGGTGCTGAGTAGGTGTGGTCAGTTGATAATGAATTGACAGCTTATCTATATCACTACCTTCTAGAAAATGAAACTTTCATTTATAAAAAGTGACTAGAAAATTTGTCCTCTCAACCACTTTACAGTTACATTGGCATGGAATTTGTGAAACTTGGTGTAGAACTTAAAGTGGACTATTTTTCTCTTAAGGGATTAGTCCAGGGGTCCTCAAACTTTTTAAACAGGGAGCCAGTTCACTGTCCCTCAGACCATTGGAGGGCCGGACTATAGTTTAAAAAAAACTATGAACAAATTCCTATGCACATTGCACATATCTTATTTTGAAGTAAAAAAACAAACGGGAACAAATACAATATTTGTATTTGCATGTGGCCCGAGGGCCGTAGTTTGAGGACCCCTGGACTAGTCTTTTTTTTTCACTTAAGGATGTATTTTTTTTAATTTAGTCTCAACTTCTATAATAAGTGTTTCTTTAATGCACATAATTCTTCATAGGTCCTGAAATCACAGGGTAAATTTTGAAATTTTCTAGCACTATCCAGAAATAATTGGTTAAATTATTAGTTATTAAGTACAAAAGTGATCTAAGATAAAATTGGTTTTATATGTCAAGAATGCATTAATAGTGAATTGTGAGTATTGTAGACCAAATTGTGTATTATCCAGCTAAGTATGCCCAACTTCACATTAGTTTTTGAAGGCCTGATTCAAATCTTTTTTTTTTCCTGATTCAAATCTTGATCTGAATAGATAATAGCCTTTTCTTCTTTTTTTGTTTACATGGCAATAGGAAGTTGTGCCATGAATCACTGAAATCCCCCCAATAATTCAGGGACTTTTTATTTTTTAAGAAAATAGACTGGTTTTTGCTTAATATTGGTAAGTGATAAGCTGCCAATGAACAGGCCAATTTTGGCAAGCAATAGGGAAGAAGCAAAAATGCTTAAAAATTCATAAACTATGCTTAGCCTGTGGATAATCTTTAATTGCCTAATGTCTTTTATATTGCTCATTAAGCAGATTTTATGTGAAAAGGGATCTTGATTTTATGTTGACCAGGAACAAAAAGGTACTTTTAAATATATTTTATTGATTTTTTACAGAGAGGAAGGGAGAGAGATAGAGAGTTAGAAACATCGATGAGAGAGAAACATCGATCAGCCGCCTCCTGCACATCTCCTATTGGGGATGTGCCCGCAACCCAGGTACATGCCCTTGACCGGAATCGAACCTGGGACCTTTCAGTCCGCAGGCCGACGCTCTATCCACTGAGCCAAACCGGTTTCGGCGTGAAAAGGGATCTTGATTTTATGTTGACCAGGAACAAAAAGGTACTTTTAAATATAATGGCAATTAAAGGGAAAGATTGTTTTAGAAATACATTATCAGTGATATTTCATTAATTAATAGGAAATTTGGGGCTTCTGATAAGCCTCTTCATGTGTTAGACAATTTAAATCTCAACTAGGTTGAGTAAGGTCCAGCCATCATGAAGTTTGAAGAAATAGAGAGATGGTGGGCCCAATCACTCCTCCCACACACAGTTAATAAAATTTTAAGTGGCCTGTAAAAGTATTGAAGTAATAATTCACTATGAAAATATCCTTCCTACAGCGGAGCGTGCTTTAGACACCATGAATTTTGATGTTATAAAGGGCAAGCCAGTTCGCATCATGTGGTCTCAGCGTGATCCATCACTTCGCAAAAGTGGAGTAGGCAACATATTCATTAAAAATTTGGACAAATCCATTGATAATAAAGCACTGTATGATACGTTTTCTGCTTTTGGTAACATCCTTTCATGTAAGGTAAGCAACAATGTGACAGATAAACATATTTACCGTGTTTTCTAAAAAATAGCAACCATACTGTATATTAATGGGTATCTTTATTTTCCAAATACCCAGGCTAGGTGACTGACAAGTTACAGTTGACATTAGAACAGTGTGCCCACTTAAAAGCAGATTTTTTTTTTTTTCAGTAAATATCTATATGTGTTTTCTGTCTGTTTGGGAATGCATGTATGCAGAGGGCCAACTATGCATTGTTCTACACTGTTCTATATAGCCACAGAGTTTTGGTATCTGCGGGGATACTGAGGGATACATATGTATTTGGGGAGTCAAGTTATATTTAGATTTTGACTGCTGGGTGTCAGCTCCCCTAAGCCTTCTCCATCCTCTCAGCATTGGTCAGCTGTATGGTACTTTTGAACATTGGAAAAATGCTGAGTTAATAGTAAGTAATGAAAAACTGCTATACATTTCCCCCTAGGTGGTTTGTGATGAAAATGGTTCCAAGGGTTATGGATTTGTACATTTTGAGACACAGGAAGCAGCTGAAAGAGCTATTGAAAAAATGAACGGGATGCTTTTAAATGATCGTAAAGTGTAAGTATAAAAATTTAGTTATACTTCAGATCTCTTATTAATAGTTCAAACCAATACATTAATTTTTATAAGTTAATGTATTTGTGCTCTTTAAATAAAGAGATACAATTTGAATGAAAATTAACAAACCTACATCTTGGGGTAGATTTTATAATTGTTTTTCCTCCACATTCAATGTAACATTAAAATAACTGAATTAATAAATGGTCAGCCTTCAAACCAAAAAGAAAAAAATGGGTATACTGGGATATAAAACTTTTTCAAAGTAAGTGCATAGTTGAACAACTAGAACCCAGACAGAAGCTTAATTGTAATTCCTGAGGTAGTAATTAGCCCATTTTCTATTTGTGGAAACTGAGGCTAAAATAATTTGCCTGTAATTAAATGCCTGCATGACAGATGGGCTAGAATACAAGCCCAGTGGTCTAAGTTCTGAACCCAGGGTGACTCTTTACGAGGTTATACTGCTGCAATTTATTGATGGATTATAAAGTTTTCTCCCACCCTTTTGAACTCATTCACCTCTTTAAAGAAAAAGCTGAATTAAACCAGAAGTCTTTATGGTTAATCTTTCTGAAATAAACTTGTTCTTAAAAGTTAAATAATGTCACTGATGGCCTGGCCAGTGTGGCTCGGTTGTGCATCTTCCTGTGCACCAAAAGGGTCACTGATTGGATTCCTGGTCAGAGCATATGCCTGGCTTTTGGACTCGATCCCCAGTAGGGGGTGGGATATGCAAGAGGCAGCCAATTGATGTTTCTCTCTCACATCAATGCTTTCCCTTTCTCTCTCTAAAATCAATAAAAACCATAAAGTAAATAACAATGATAAAACCTGTGTAAGACTATTTCTGCTATATGTTGTAAGAATACAGATTTTATGAGCCCAAAGAAATGACAAATTTTATTTTCTCCTCACTGTCAGTGGATCTGGGTAAGTTCAGCTGTGAGGTCATATGTAAATGATCTGTGAGTTTATGTTGTGTGTAGTTAATGATGGCATACAAATTGGTTTGGTTATAAGTCAGCTGCATCACTCTTAAGGTGTGGTTCTCATAAACCAGTGCAAGTGGTGTGATCAGTCTGTACATGAAGAAGTTATGCACATGGTTTGGATTTTGAGTACATTTAAATGAGAAATACTCAGCATTATTAGTATTCTCAGATGAAAACATAGTTTGCCTGTCAGCTGTGCTTCAAGGGGGGCAAAGTGCTCATCACTGGTGGGGCAGATTTTTGAGTAGGATTATAGGAAATGTTTTACTTTGATACATATTTTCTTCAATGACACATTTATATTAGGGGAAAACTAAATTTAAAAACATTTTGTTGATAATGTAAAAAATAATGCAGGGCTATTATGTGTTAAGAGTAAAGAATTAAGTTGCATTTTAATTTACAAAGTGTAAGAGCCACTTTGAAACTGCTGCTGTGAAAGCTTTTGTCTTTTTTTCTAAATCCTCACTGGAGTATATGTTTTAGGGAGAGGGAGAGAGAAACATCAGAACAAGGGTTGGTAACTTCCTTCTGTTGAGCCAGGGTTAAAGAGATCACACCTATAGATGAGTGGGACACCAATGAAAAGACATAAAAACACCCTGGCCAGGTGGCTCTATTGGTTGGAGCATTGTCCTGTACACCAGACAATTACAGGTTCAATTCCAAGTCAGGGCACATAACTAGATACCAAGTTAGATCCCAAATTTATACAAATTTATAATTTGAAATGTTTAAACTAAGTATTGCATGGAATACTTTTCATTGAGGCTCTATTTCTGTTTTACAGTGTGCTCTTCATTAGAGATTCTGAAATTATGAGTAGCGTTTACAAAATCAACTATCAGGTTTAATCTGAACTTCTAAAATGGAAACTAAATTTTATAGTCTACATTTTCTTTTCTTTTAGATTTGTTGGGCGATTTAAGTCTCGTAAAGAACGAGAAGCAGAACTTGGAGCTAGGGCAAAAGAGTTCACCAATGTTTACATCAAGAATTTTGGAGAAGACATGGATGATGAGCGCCTTAAGGATCTCTTTGGCAAGTTTGGTAATGTGTCTGAATTAAATTTTTACACTCAAAGTTCTGAGTAATCTTTATATTAAAAGCCTAGGCAGAATGACAGGTCTCTATGCACACTGACCACTGGGGGGCACACGCTCAACGCAGGACTGCAAGAGGGCATAGGTCAGGCTGAGGGACAACCCCCCCTCCTCCCTCCCCCCCCCCCCCCCCCCCCGCATGAATTTCATGTACCGGGCCTCTAGTTGCTCAATATTAGTTTTGGCTAATTTTACCAAAATAAATGAGACTTACATGATACTTAAAATAATTTGTAGTTTTTTGGATTAAGCTAATGATCATCTATTGTACTGCAAAGTAATATATATATGCCTAATATGCAAATTGTCAGGTGTTGTATGTTTCATCTATCTCTTGAGATTAGAAGCTATTTCTAAAGTTTGGTTGGATATTGTAACCACTTATTTCAAATAAATAATGCTGTCAGTTGGCCACCAATTTATAAATTTGTCAGTTATATTCTGGATGGCTTTGCATAGCAGAGATTGAAAGTATAACCTTAGGACTGCAGCACATTCAAAAGTAACAATCTATGCTCATACATCTTGCAAATTCTCTAATTGGATTTTTAGCCTTTTTGTCCCACCTACCTGAGATAATACCCGCCTCAGTTAAGTGTCATTTTTCCTTGAGTGGGTGGGGATTGGGCATGTGAATTCAGAAACATGCCACCTCCAGGTGATTCTTTGTCTTCCCAAATGTCAGGTGCTGTATTCCCTTCACTGACTGTTGAAATCAAGTGGGCCAGGGCTTAAATTCTTATTTGTTAATTCTGATGTCAAGAAAACCAAATTGTTGGGTTAAAAAAAGGCAAATCTGGTCTGTAGTACTGCTAAGAATAAAATTTCATTTTTTACAGTTGTCTAAAACATATTTCCATAAATGGAAGTAGGAATGTTTTCAGTTTACTTCTTAGTAGAAATACAGGGTCTTTTAAGAGACTATTTACTGCCCATGCATGGCTTTGTTTTTGTGCGTTGAAACTTGAAATGTATAAACTAAGTATTGCATGGAATATCTAAGTCCTTAAAAAAAATTTTTTTTTAGGACCTGCCTTAAGTGTGAAAGTAATGACAGATGAAAGTGGAAAATCCAAAGGTTTTGGATTTGTAAGCTTCGAAAGGCATGAAGATGCACAGAAAGTAAGACTTAAATATATTAACTAAAGGCACTAATTGCTCTGTGTTTTATTGCAAAGAGATATAAAACTGGGTTGCTCTTAAGTTGAAATTTACATGCATACCAATGGCTATTTTACATGTTCATCTTTACATGTTTTTTTAATTTTATTTGGATTTTATATATTTTGACATTATAAATTGGGAACCTACATTTTCCCCAAACCGCAAAGTTTAGTTTTTGTTACGGGTCTGTCTTTAGCTTTCACAACGTAACAAACTTTCTTTGTTGTTAAAAAAATGAATTTCCATATTTCAAATTAGTAATTAAAGTTTTTGTTATTTCTGTAAGGCTGTGGATGAGATGAATGGAAAGGAGCTCAATGGAAAACAAATTTATGTTGGTCGAGCTCAGAAAAAAGTGGAACGGCAGACGGAACTTAAGCGCAAATTCGAACAGATGAAGCAAGATAGGATCACCAGATACCAGGTTCGTTTTTTGTTTGTTAATATATTTTAATTGATTTCAGAGAGGAAGGGTGAGAGAGACAGAAACATCAGTAATGAGAGAGAACCACTGATTGGCTACTTCCTGAGCAGCCCCTACTGGGGTTCAAGCCTGCAATCCAGGCATGTGCCCTGACCGGGAATCGAACCATGGCCTCCTGGTTTCATAGGTTGATTCTACACAACCACTGAGCCATACCGGCTGGGCTGCCTGGTTCATTTTAATTGAACAAGTTAGTAAGTAAGACAGGGATGAGGAAACCTATTTTACTTACTGACACATAATCGGAGGATTTGAGGCGGGGTGGGCGGGGAAGGAAACATGGGATAAAACAGTAGGAAGTGTGCTTGAGTACCACCATGGTTTTCTTTTTCTAGTTATTCTTTTTTCTTTTTTTTTAGGGTGTTAACCTTTATGTGAAAAATCTTGATGATGGTATTGATGATGAACGTCTCCGGAAAGAGTTCTCTCCATTTGGTACAATCACTAGCGCAAAGGTAAGCATATGATTTTTTTTTAAGATTTTGGAAAAATCCATGGTTATATGTACTTAAATTTCTCATCAATTTACTTTTTTTTTCCCACTTTCTAAACGAATAGTGAAATAAGGATGGGCCTCCCAAATTTTTTTTCTTTCCTGGAAATCAAGTTTTTGCTTCATTACTTAAAAAAAAAAAAAAACCATTCAAATTCGATGTGGATGTTGTAGCCCCATGGTTTATTTTTGCAGATGGAGAGTTCTGCATTCTTTCCTGAGGAAGGCTGTAGTTGATGACCGACCATAGTTAAATTGATTGATCCTCAATCATGTGCACTGTTCTACACTTTGTTAAACTAGTGCTTTTACTGGTTACGGTGTCAGTTTATTAGGGGACCATACCTGTTAACAATTGGGCTAATCTGTATTCACTTATTCTGAGGAGTCAAACTCTAAAAACAGGATTCTATATTAAATTCTGGAATTTTGGAGTGTGGGAAAAATTAAAGCTCTGGGCTCTGGAATGATTTGTGGCTCATCTTTCTACTCAGCTTTTCCTGGCAAACCTATTGACTGAGGAAGCTTCTGTGAAAGTGAGGAAATGTTAGGAACACAGTAGATGAATACAAATAAGAAAGCAAGTGATGTGGTTGTCTTGTGTTACAGCCTGTGCTTTTGTAAGAGTACCTGGAGTGTGGTGGAATTTATTCCTGAGTGTCTTTAACCTCAGTGTATTGCTTGAAAGCTGTTTAAACTGAATATTATGCATTCATTTATTTTAAATGTATTTTACATGCATGTTTTACGAAGAAGAGTTCTTAAAGTCCTTTGTGGATTATAATATCACTATTTGCAAGGAGGTGAAAAGTTTGGCAAGAATTTATTTTGGAGGGAGGAAGGAGGGTATTATGTTGATTTAATAGTGCTTGCTGAAAAAACATATCAAAAAGAAAGACAAAAAGTGAAAGGCAACTCCTGCATCCCCATTTTCAGTCTCCAAAAAGATTGAGTGGTGGTGATAATTCTTTGTGCTTGTCCAGTCTATATGTATAAATAGTTTTTAGTAAACAGGATTATGCCCTGCATATTCTGCAACTTGCTATTTTATTTAACAATATATCTAAATATATATTTCAGGCATTTATTTTTTGCTAATAGTTAAATATTCATGGTATGGATATATCATAAATTATTTTACTGTACCTGTATTGATAAGTATTTGGGTTGCTTTGCAGGTTTCCAAAGTTAAATCCACCTTTCTACCAGCCATTTTTATTTATTCATTCATTCATTCATTCATTCATTCATTTATACACATGCCAGTATTTCTAGAATTGATATTGCTGGTTTGTGGGTGTGTATTTAAAATTGATACAACAGAATTGTCCAAAAGGGCTGAATAAATTTCTATTAGTCTTATTAGTAGAAAGCAGTATATATATATATCTTTTCAAATGATGACATGTTTTTCATGTGTTTACTATTTTTGCCTTTCATTGCATACTTTTATATTGCATTGGTTGTCTTTATTAACTTAGGGACAATGTATGTCAACCCTTTATATTGCAAATATTTTCTTTCAGTCTTTCACTTTGTACTTTAGGATCTTGTGTCAGATTACATTTTTCCTACATTTTTGCATTTTATGTTCAGATTGAGAATCTGGCGATTTTTTTTTAATGTGATATGAAGAAGAGGTCTAACAGTTCTTTTCAGTTATCCCAATGTACCATATACTAAATAGTTCAAAGTCCATCCTTTGCCCCCAATTTTTAAAATGTTCACTTTAACGCACTAAATTCCCATAATTGCATGGGTATGTTTCTGGACTCTTAAATTTATATATAATTGACTTATAACATTAATTTCATGTTTACAACACAGTATTCAGTATTTTATATATTGTGAAGATATGACAATTCATCTCTGTACATAGTTACAAAAAATATTTTTCTTGTAATGAAAAAACTTGTAAGATCTCTGCTAGCAACCTTCAAGTATACAATACAGTATTATTAACTACTAGAGGCCCGATGTACAAATTTGTGCAAGAGTAGGCCTTCCTTTCCCCAGCTGCTGGCACCCGCTTCCCTCCGACACCCCCGGGACTTGGGGTCATCTAGTCTAATTAGCATATTACACTTATTATTATAGTCCCCATGCTGTACATTCCATTTCTATGATTTATTTTGTAGCTGGGCATTTGTATTGTTTAACCCCCTTTACCCAGTTTTCCCATCCTTCGCCCCTCTGGTACCCACTCGTCTTATTTTCTGTATCCAGGAACTCAGGAGTTGTTTCTTTTCTTTTGTTTGGGTTGTTGTTTTCTTTTTAATTTGTTTTTGGTTTTGATTCTACATATAAGTAAGATTGGCATTTGTTTCATTGCCATTTTGCTTATTCCTGTGTTTCCAGCATACTGTTTAATGTAGCTGGATAGCACGCTTATGTATATTTCTGAGCTAGTGAGGAGTTCTTTACATTTACCTCATTGCTTGTTGCAGAGATCATTGCAGTCAGTGAAAGTCTCCTGAATATTGTTTATGCCCCAATATTCATGGCCCCTTCTGGTCTTGAGTGTGAAGTTTTTATTTTAAAATATTCGTATTATAAGATTCAACTGCTTTCCCTCCCCCTCTTTCCTCTTTGAAGAGTAGTAAAGCATTTTGTCAGCTTCAGTGGCTCGAAGAGTGATTTTAATTGGGTATTTCCAGTGGTGCTAAGAGTTTTAAATTTAGTAAGCCTTGAATTTATTTAGCTATTTAAACCTTAATATTGAGAATCTAAATATCTAACTGAGTATCTTTAAAAAATTGCTGTTGCACCTCTGCCCCTTTACTTCCTCTTTTGCTTGGCTGGGATAATGCATGTGTTTAGCTTGCCCTTAATATTTAGGTACTAAGAAAAAACTGGGGAAAAAATTCTTTCATTGTTAACAGGGTTTAGTTGAGTCAGTAGCTATCATTGTAATAATGCTCTCAATTTGTGCCTCATTCTACCACTGCATTAACCTTGTTTAATATTTTTTTTTCTTTCAATAGGTTATGATGGAGGGTGGTCGCAGCAAAGGGTTTGGTTTTGTATGTTTCTCCTCCCCAGAAGAAGCCACTAAAGCAGTTACAGAAATGAATGGTAGAATTGTGGCTACCAAACCATTGTATGTAGCTTTAGCTCAGCGCAAAGAAGAGCGCCAGGCTCACCTCACTAACCAGTATATGCAGAGAATGGCAAGTGTGAGAGCTGTGCCCAACCCCGTAATCAACCCCTACCAGCCAGCACCTCCTTCAGGTTACTTCATGGCAGCTATCCCACAGGTACGTTTTTCTGTTTGAGAACCTTTATTTAGTATATAGCAGATATATATTTAGAGTATATAGTTGAATTATTTGCTTTTATTCTTTAGCTGATGTATTTGCTTGCTTTCTGCAGACTCAGAACCGTGCTGCATACTATCCTCCTAGCCAAATTGCTCAACTAAGACCAAGTCCTCGCTGGACTGCTCAGGGTGCCAGACCTCATCGTAAGCTTTTCCTTTTTTCTCTTGAGGGGATGGATTATTTGGAATAAAAATATACATGGGCCAATTAGCTGTTATATTTCAGTGATATGTTAACTTGCTTTTCATAATTTATGGTTATCAATGTTCATTTGATTCTAGTTTTGTTTTTTGTTTTAAATTCTCACCCTGGGTCATGCTTATTGAATTTATTTTATTTTTTACTAGAGGCCCGGTGCACGAATTCGTGCACTGGTGGGGTCCAGCTGGCCCGCCCCGCTGGGGCAAGGGGCCGCGGTCATTTCGCTGTTCAGTCCCTGGGCTTTTATTATATAGGATCATATAGGGTTTTTTAAAGTATATTGTTGAAACTATTACATGTGTCCCCTTTTTTCTCCTATTTGGGATTTTTTTTTATTTTAAAAAAATTGTAAAATGCTTCACCACTCTGAGACAGTGATTTCTGTGCTGGTTTGATTTTTCCTTTATGGTAAGTTTGGGAATGGATCCAACTCTTTATTCTTTTTTAACTTATTTTAATGTTTTTATTGATTTTTTTATTTTTATTTTTTTTAGAAGGAGAGAGAAAGATCGATGTGAGAGAGAAACATTGATCAGTTGCCTTCCGCACACATTCCAACTGGGGATCGAGCCTGTAACCTGAGAATGTTCCCTAACCAGAAGTCAAACTGGTGACCATTCAGTGCACCAGATGATGCTCAACCAACTGAGCCACACTGGCCAGGGCAGGATCTAATTCTTTTTTTTAAATATATTTTATTGATTCTTTACAGAGAGGAAGGGAGAGAGAGAGAGAGTCAGAAACATCGATGAGAGAGAAACATCGATCAGCTGCCTTCTGCACATCCCCCACTGGGGATGTGCCCGCAACCCAGGTACATGCCCCCGACCGGAATCGAACCCGGGACCCTTCAGTCCGCAGGCCAACGCTCTATCCACTGAGCCAAACCAGTTTCGGCAGGATCTAATTCTTAATTTCATATTTGGTTGGGCAGTAGTATTGAAAGATTTTGTTGCTTGTATGAGGACCAGGTTCTGGCATTTTTGGCTTTATCCTGTCTGTAGAATAGTGTTGTGTTGTAGGAGCACTTGGAATGAGGTTTGTGTATGATGTTTAGATATTAATAAGTACTTGTATGAATGAATATTCACTGATGCTGTGATCTGATAAGTCTGGGGATACTTTAGGTGTGAGACTAAAAAATGGTATTTACTTTTAGCCTTTTGTTCAAACCTCAGCTCTAAAAAAGCAGCATGAACACTTTCAGTGAGTTTTGCCGAGTTAATGTGTGTTCATATCTTTAAATGCAGCATTCCAAAATATGCCCGGTGCTATCCGCCCAGCCGCTCCTAGACCACCATTTAGTACTATGAGACCAGCTTCTTCACAGGTTCCACGAGTCATGTCCACACAGCGTGTTGGTGAGTCTTAACCCTGCCTGTAAAAATTGGTCTCCAATTTGAAGTAGCAAAGTATAATGTACAAAATACATGTTTTTATTTTTAGCTAACACATCAACACAGACAATGGGTCCTCGTCCTGCAGCGGCTGCTGCTGCAGCTACTCCTGCTGTCCGCACCGTTGCACAGTATAAATACGCTCCAGGAGTTCGCAATCCTCAACAACATCTTAATGCACAGCCACAAGTTACCATGCAGCAGGTATGGACTTACTGATTTCTTCATAAAGGCGACAGAACCTTGGTTGCAATCAAAGAAATTGAAGACAACTGTATGACATAGGAGAGCTTAGGCTGTCTAGAACATCTTGTTAATTGTCCCATTAATTGATAGTATGTAAAAATGTCTTACCTGCCTTGTGCTATAGGAATTAGACAAGCTTTCTGCATTTCCCATTCTTAATTTAATTGGGTGACTTGAGTTTTGTTTGGCATAGCTGTAAGGAAGACAGGGTAAAATCGAGTTTAGTTTGTGAGCTGTAGCTTACTCCTGCACCCCCCCCCCTCCTTTTTTTTTTACCCTGGACCAAAACTGTCATTGCTTATAATAGAAATCTGGTTCCAAAGAATACTCCAGGTTAAAAAAAAAAGTGAAATATCCCATGTGGTCTTAATACTTGAACAAATAAGTGTGTTTCTGGTTTACTCAGCTCCTATGTGTTCAGATTGCAGTCTATCATCTCACTGATTTTCCAGTGGTGACTGTCACTTATACTTGCCATTACTTCTTACTTGAAACTTAGGAATTTTCCTATTTTATATCTAGCCTGCTGTTCATGTACAAGGTCAGGAGCCTTTGACTGCTTCCATGTTGGCATCTGCCCCTCCTCAAGAGCAAAAGCAAATGTTGGGTAGGTACCTTTGTCTTACCTAGTCAGTTAGAGACTAGAAAATAGACACAAAAACCTCTTTTGCACCTAATAATACAGCTAGATTTATCTGAATTGGCATGAATGATTAAGATGGCACAGTTTGTCTGCCTAACTAATTTAAAGTCCAGAAAGTTATCAATATGTTGCTTTTGATGGATATGGTAATAGGGCATTACACCCCTACTTGCTATGCATTCCCACCACATTGTTGGAAGAGGGAATTTGAAACAAATGAGGGACGAACTTTGACTTTGCCTGAGCATAGATTTAACAATTGAATATAGCAACATAGCTTACACATTTATTTGCTATATACAAAAGGTTCTTAAATCCCAGTTTTAATATGGTAAATGCCTTTAGGTTTTTTTTTCTTTATTGAAGTCTTTGAAATGTTTTTGTCCCTAGGTGAACGGCTGTTTCCTCTCATTCAAGCCATGCACCCTACTCTTGCTGGTAAAATCACTGGCATGTTATTGGAGATCGATAATTCAGAACTTCTTCATATGCTTGAGTCTCCAGAGTCTCTCCGTTCTAAAGTAATTTAAATTTGTCATTTATCTAACAACTTAGACTCCAAATATTTTAGAGCTTTTTGTGGGAGCTTAATTTCATAGAACATTATTAAGTGCTATATACAGGGTGGGCAAAAGTAGGTTTACAGTTGTAAGTACGTGAAACATCATTCTACAAACCATGCACTGTTCTAAGAGTTCTACAGGTAGTAATTGTAAGTTCTGATCATAACCCGTGGTGCTGTTCCCATTTTATAAATTGGGAAACAAGCATAGAGAGGTTAAATAATTCCCCAATGCTCACAAAGGTAGGAAGTGCCAAGCGTGGTTTCAAATCAGTCAGTTTAACTCTAGTATCTATGCTCTCCTAGCTGCTACTTCTTTATTGGAAAAAGATAGTGATATTTGCTAATATTTTTCAACTTTGGAGGATTTTTGGTGAGAGTAAGTACAAGAGAGTTCATAATTCTGGAATAGTGGTGTAATGGAACTCAAAAAGATATGAATAATAGTTGGAATGTTTTTTGGAACTCTTCACTCTTTCCACTTGACCTTTGATGACATTTGTGTATGGTCAAATTGAGATTCTTTTAGTTATTCCTTTTCAGAGCCAATTTGTTCTCCTTTTTTAGGTTGATGAAGCTGTAGCCGTACTACAAGCCCACCAAGCTAAAGAGGCTGCCCAGAAAGCAGTTAACAGTGCCACCGGTGTTCCAACTGTTTAAAGTGAGCTTTCCCGCATGGTTGTTTTAGCTTGTTTCCTCAATCTTTTATAATAGTTTGAGCATATTTTGAAACATGGCAAAAATTATTTTATCATTAAGTCCAAATGCATTGATAATTTTTCAGAGAAATGGAAATGTAAGAATTAAATGTTACCTGTTTACCCTGATATTAACTTGACTTTTCAAAATCAAAGCATGATTAAACATTTTATATAGTGAGTTTTGTTAAATGGCCTTTAACAGGGGTTGGCCCTTTGTATACTTCATTCTTATGCTTTTTCTTGGGTGGCAGTAGTAACAGTTGCCCTTAGGCCTCTACTATTGCCCTTTATTACTCCCAAGAAATAGTATTATAATGTAGCTGTTCAGCCAGGACCAGAGATTGGAAAAGCTTTTCTGAAAAGGACCAGATAGGAAACATTTTGGGCTTTGTGGGCCTTGTGTTTGTTGGCAGGAACTCAACTCTGTTACAGTATGAAAGCAGTCATAGACAATATGTAAACAGATGAGTGTGGTTGACTGAATTTGGTACACAGCTCTAATTTGCTACTGACAAGTACTAGTACTGGTCTTATCTTCCTTGTTTTGTTGGCTTTGGTTTTATTGAAGTATTTTTGATACATAATGGGAAAATTTAAGACACACCATGTTAATTTGACACATGTCTATATTGTGATATGATTGCTACTGTAGCGATGGTTAGTACCTCCATCACTTTATGTAATGATCTTTTTTTTTTTTTTAGTGGTTGGAATAATTAAGATCTAGTCTCAGAGCAAGTTTTATGATTATAATCTTTTTTCCCCCCACGTTTACAGATTGATCAGGGACCATGAAAAGAAACTCGTGCTTCACCGAAGAAAAATATCTAAACATCGAAAAACAATATTACGGAAAAAAAAAACATTGCAAAATATAAAATAAATAAAAAAAGGAAAGGAAACTTTGGACCTTATGTACCGAGCAAATGCCAGGTCTAGCAAAAATAATGCTAGTCCTAGATTACTTATTGATTTAAAAACAAAAACAAAAAAAAACACAAAAAAATAGTAAAATATAAAAACAAATTAATGTTTTATAGACCCTGGGAAAAAGAATTTTCAGCAAAGTACAAAAATTTAAAGCATTCCTTTCTTTAATTTTGTAATTCTTTACTGTGGAATAGCTCAGAATGTCACTTCTGTTTTAAATAACAGAATTGATAACTGAGCAAGGAAACGTAATTTGGATTATAAAATATTGCTTTAATAAAAATTCCTTAAACAGTAAACAGTGATGTTATGCTATTTTATTTCACTTGGCTTGTGTAAGTAGGCGATAAGTTGGAATTAGCATAAGAACCTCTTGTGACAAAGGTATAGTTTAAATGATCTTAACATTTCTATTTTTTGAGATGACAGTTTGACTATTAAGGTTTCTAGGCTGAGAGATAGCTTAAAGCCTTCATTTACATGGTGGAGGACAAGTAAACAGTTACTCTGTATAGAGGAGTGTGTTTTGGGTATGGTTTTTATATTAAATGTCAACAAGGATTCATTTTTTAGCCTTATTTTTTAGTGGCCGCCTGCACATGCCCTACTGGGGATCGAACCCACAACCCGGGCACATGTCCTTGACCAGAATTGAACCATGACTCCTGATTCATAGGTTAACGTTAAACCAGTCAGGCTAGAGAATGGGTTTTAGAAGATGGGGGCTAAGGCCCAAGACATCTGTGAAACAAATTCCCCTGGCAATTTAAATGTACTTTTGAGAATGGTTTTAATGCCAACTCTTTTGCCTTTGGGAGCAAATAAGTAAATTCAAATAAAACCATTCCTATATCAGCCCTCTCTGCATGATGAAGCCTTACAATGCTCTGTGCCTGGAATGCTTTTCATTTGGCTTCCTGTTTTGAAACAATAAAAAACCCCACCTCTATCCCATGGTTTAAATCTGTACCCCCTCCCCCCATAGGCCTTCTAATGACTATTTTGTATTTTGCCTAACCATACACTTACCCTCTAAGGGGCTTGACAGTTTAGGTAGAGAAATATATATCCTATTTTTCAAAATTTGAGAAAATGGTTCAAGCTTTGAGGTTTTAAAGGAGCAGACTTTAGTTTGAGACACCTTAGAAGTTATATCTATAAACTTCCCACAGTTGAAGTTTAAAACTATTCTAAAATCTAGAGTTGCAGATACGAGTTTGTAGACAGTATCTTTATATGGTTTTATGTGCTGCAGATAAACCATCCATCTGTTCTGCAAATACCTTCATTTTCTAGTGAAGCAAACTTCTGCTTGGTTTGGAGCCAACAAAAGTTTGTGATCTGGCAGGAATTGATTTAGGAAAAAACTTGCACTCCATTACTCCATTCTCATTGTTTGATTCTGTATTTGCAAATTCATCTCACAAAAATATAGCTGCTTCTATTGGAAGTTTTAAGACTAAGTTGATAGGTGACATTTATTTGTGGGTACTAGATGTAGACTGGTTAATTGAAACTGCTTTTTTAGCCTTGAAGTTTTTCTCCATTTCTGCATTTATACTAAGACATGCTTGGGTAAGGTCGGCTAAAGGAATGTATCTTGTTTACAGTATTTTGTCATTGATTATACAAGTCATGTACTGCTTAACAACGGGGATACATTCTGAGAAAATACATCATCAGGCAATGTCTTCCTTATGTGAACATCATAGAATGTACTTAACACAAATCTAGATGGCACTAGTATAGGACTGGCATCCCAGTGGGTTTGTTTATACCAGCATCACAAAGACATGAGTAACTTGTGCTTGGATTAGGATGGCTATGACATCACTAGGCAGTAGGCAGTTTTCAGCTCCATTATAATCTTACCAGAGGCCGTGCACAGATTCATGCACCGGTGGGGTCCCTCAGCCTGGCCTACGGGGATTGGGCAGAAACTGGCTCTTTGACCTCCCCCCCAAGGGGTCCCAAATTGCGAGAGGGCGGTTCTCTGGTGACACAGCACCCTGGAATCGTGCTCCCTCTCGGGTTCTGGGTTATGGTCACTCGAGAATCGCTACTGTAGCTCAGCAGCTCCTGCTTTAAGTGTCTGCCCCTTGGTGGTCAGTACGTGTCATAGCTACTGGCCAGCTGGTTGCTTAGGCTTTTACATATATATAAATGGGACCACTATCATACATGGAATCTGTTAATGACTAAAATGTCATTCAGTATATGACTGTACTTTGCCTCCCATCAAACTAGAGTCATGTGGCTGGCTTAACAATGGGAATACATGTTGGGGATGAGAAATGCATCAATAGCAATTTGTCTTTGTGTGAACATAGTGTGCACTATACAAACCTAGATGGTATAGCCCACTACACATATGGCTATATGGTATAACCTGGTGCTCCTAGGCTATAATCCGCACAGGATTTCACTGTACTGAATACTGTAGGCTATGGTAACAATGGTATTTGTGTATCTAAACAGAAAAGGTCCAGTAAAAATAGGGCATAAAAGATAAGATGGGATACCTGTACAGGGCACTTCATCATAAATGGAGCTTGCAGGGCTGGAAGTTGCTCTGGGTGAGTCAGTGAGTGCTTAGTGAATGGAAGGCCTAGGACAGCAGTTCTCAACCTGTGGGTCGAGACCCCTTGGGGGTTGAACGACCCTTTCACAGGGGTCACCTAAGACCATCGGGGTCACATAATTACATATTGTTTTTGTGATTAATCACTATACTTTAATTATGTTCAATTTGTAACAATGAAAATACATCCTGCATATCAGATATTTACATTACAACTCATAACAACAAAATTACAGTTATGAAGTAGCAACGAAAATAATTTTGTGGTTGGGGGTTACCACAACATGAGGAACTGTACTAAAAGGTCGCGGCATTAGGAAGGTTGAGAACCACTGGCCTAGGACATTATAGTAGACTGACAACACTTGGGCTACATGAAATTTATAAACTTTTTTCATAATTAAACTTAGCTTACTGTAACTTTTTACCTTTGTCTTAATTTTTTGAATCTTTTATAATAACACTAAGCTTAAACACATTTTGTACATCTGTACAAAAATGTTTTCTTTATATTCTTATTCAGTACACATTTTTCCTATAAAAATTAAAACAAATTTTTAGACTTTAAAAATTAAGACATATGCCGAAACCGGTTTGCTCAGTGGATAGAGCGTCGGCCTGCGAACTGAGGGGTCCCAGGTTCGGTTCCGGTCAAGGGCATGTACGTTGGTTGCGGGCACATCCCCAGTGGGAGATGTGCAGGAGGCAGCTGGTCGATGTTTCTCTCTCATCGATGTTTCTAGCTCTCTGTCCCTCTCCCTTCCTCTCTGTAAAAAATCAATAAAATATATTAAAAAAAAAAAATAAGACATAAACAATTAGCCCAGGCCCGTAGGATCATCAGTACCACTGCCTTCTACCTCCATATCTTGTTCCACTGGAAGGTCTACAGGGGCAATAACATACATGGAGCTCTCATCTATGACAACAGTGCCTCCTGAAAACTTCCTGGAGGACCTGCCTTAAAGCTGTTCCTGAAGCTGTTACTCTTCAAAAATTTGTCCATTGTGGTTTGCTGGGCTTGTTTTTCGATTGTAAGTATTCTTGTAAGCACGCAGTACATCATGAACATTCCTCTCTATTGATGAAAACCTATTAGGTGTTGGGGTCCATGTTTTCAAACTTTTTAAGGACCTTACTGAGATCTATAAAAGTTGCTATTCCCTTTACTGAGTTTTCTTGGGGGTTCTTGTTCTGCAGTTTCCTTTTTCCTCTTCAGCTATGTGTTCCTGTTCCAGCTCTAACAACTCATTAGTCAATTCCTCAGGAACCACCTCTAGGAGCAGTGTCCTCACCCACACCCAGTTAGAGTTGCTTGCCATTTCAACCACAGCCTTTTTGTTTGTTTTTGTTTTGTTTTATATTTTTACTGATTTCAGAGAGGGAGAGAGACATGAACGATCAGAGAGAATCATTGATCGGCTGCCTCCTGCATGCCGCATACTAGGAATCAAGCCCACAGCCCAGGCATGTGCCCTTGAACAGAATCAAACCCGGGACCCTTCAGCCCACAGGCCAATGCTCTGTCCACTGAGCCAAACCGGCCAGGGCTCAACCTCAGCCTTGTTGATTTTTGCAACCGCATCCTCAGCAACTCCTTTGAAGTCATAGACCTTTTAAGTGTTTCCCAGATGACAGTTAAACACTTCCTGGTGACATCACCCCAGCCTAAGCAAGGTTCTCAATGCAGTCAGATGTAATCCTTTTCAGAATTGCATCACCAATAAAAGATTTCCCAGGAGCTTTATCAACAATAAGCAAAACCTTGAAATGTATGTTACTCTCCGAACAGTACCTGATTTTGCTTGGCAGAGCAATTCAGAAGGGCATCTTAGAAGAGGAGCTGACTTTATATATCTAGATAGATATATATATCTTTGACTTTATTGCTTCTGTAATACACTGGCAATGTGTGTGTGTTATGCCTGAAGGCCCTGGAGTTGCCACTGTGCCAGATCACAAAGGGTTTACATTTGTAACCTGCAACACTGCCCCCAAGCAAGATTGTTATCCTGTCCTTTAAAAGCCTGAAACAAAACTAAAAGTGACTCAGCTACGAAGGTAGAAGGTGGAAAATCAGTGGCAGTTATTCCTCCCCTCGTGGATAAAAGTCCTTTTAGGCATCCATTTCCAGAATAGGGAGTTTTCATCTACATTGAATGCTTGCTCTGCCAAGTGATTTTCCACAGTCAGCTTCTCTAGAGTTTACAAATTTTTTTCTGCTGCCTTCACATCAGCACTGGCAGATTCACCACTTTTGCATTATGTAATGAATAACAATTCTCGAATTGTTTACCCGGAGCTAGCAGTAAATTCAACATCATAGTCCGGTCTAGCCTTTTCTTTCAACATTGCAAACAGGTTTTGTTTTTGCCATGATCATCATGGTGCTGAGAAGAATATGCTTTTGTGTCTGGTCTTTTGTCAGGTCATTGCAAGTTTCTCCATGTCTCATGTAGGCCCTTCTTGAATTTTTGTTAGTCTCCGTGCCTTCCAGAAGCAGGTCCTTTAACAGTTTCCACCACTTCGTTCTTTTTCTTCAAGATTGTTACTAAGGTGGAATGGGACTTGCTTGGCAGGAGAGAGGTAACCATGACTGATTTTCTACCTTCGTAGTCCTTAATCACTACTTTGGTCTTCAGGTCATTCACTAGACATGCCCTCTTACTGGCAACATTATTAGTAAATCTTGTACACTAAGGGGCCATGATGAAGAGAACATGAGACTGAATCATTTTGTGCTTGATTTCATCAAGAGACATGATAAACAAGATGTATGGCGCTGCTGCTGACATAATAGCATATAGTTTTACAGCAAACTTTTTAATAGACTATACTCTAAAAATAATGGTATAGCATAGTAAATACACGGACCAGTAATATTATCAAGTATTAATATACTGTATAATTGTATGTGCTATACTTTTATGACTGGCATCATAAGTGTTTACACCAGCATTACCACAAACACAGGAATGCATTATGTTGTGATGTTGCAATGTTTATGATGTCACTAGGTGGTAGGAATTTTTCAGCTTCATTATAATCTTATGGAACCACTGTTGTTTATGGGGTCTGTATGCAGCCCATGACAGTAGTCAATTACAGGTGACATTTTGGAGCAGCAGTTGCCAGCCGGTGGTCCGCGGGCCACTGGTGGTCTGTGAGGTCTGAAAGGTTGGCAGCCGCTGTTTCAGAGAATACTTTGAAACTTTTTTTTGATGTAAAATCATGGCCCCAGATTATGCATTTGCAACGAGTAAATGACTTTGAAGAGGACCTGGATACTTGTGTTTAATGAGTACATTCTATTCATGAGTCCCCTCTTATCCACAAGGGGATATATTACAATACCATCAGTGGATTCCTGAAACCATGGATAACATCGAATTTTCATATTTTCACTTAAAGGAAGCACTTTACAGCTTCCTTTTGGCATATCCTAATTGCCAGCATTACTACTCTTGTGCTTTGGGACCATTATTAAGTAAAATAAGGGTTACTTGACACAAGCACAGTGGTACTATGACAGTCAATTTGATAACAGATGGCTATTAACGAGCAAGCAGGAAGACACTAGATAAAGGGTTGACTCCGCCTAAGCAGGACAGCATGAGATTTCATCACACTACTCAGAATGGCACACAATTTTAAAGATGAATTGCTTATTTCTCTTTGGAATTTTTCATTTAATATTTTCAGACTGGTTGACTGCAGGTAACTGAAACCATGGAAAGGGACACTGCAGATAAGGGGGACTACAGTAAAACAGTCCTCATGGAAACAAAGTAAAATCAGAAGTTGGATTCAAGCTGGAAGCAAAATGGGTGGAACTGGTCAATCCACTAGCCAATACCACCAAGCACGATAGTCTGACGCACTGCTGTGCTAGGAAACCACACCGTCATGAAGACATCCTGGAGTCTTCCAATGAGGACAGGTACTCCTTTGGATAAGGCCAAAGCTACATTAATGAATTCCTATCTCAATCTAGACATCATACTGACTCACTTTCTTCTATAAAGTTTGACAATCTCATGGGTTAGATTTAACGGTTCTTAGTTACCACTTGGATGCATCTCAGATCTTCTCAATCACCTTGTTTCAAGTGTACACACATACATGGCAAGAATTTAAAGGGTAAGCCAATTTCAAATTTTAGGTGGTGTCTTATTCAGCTTTTTATCTGTCCATCATAATCATGGCAAATTGGGGGTGGGGGGAGGCAGGAAAGATGGTCTTATCTACAAAGGTAGAAAAACATGTAATTTACTTAATGATTTTGTTATAATAATATTCTCAGAAAATTTGAAACATGGGATATTCATTGGCCTAAACATTTTTTTTTTCTGTAAAGGAAAGGCTCTTCACATTAGAAGTAAAATATTTGTATTTTTAAAAGATCCCACTAAGTTATATACTAACCATTGATAAGGTATATATGAGCAGAGGGATTTATGGTTGGTGATGGAGTTTTGTTTTTACTTATCACCCCCCCCCAAGTGAAAAATTATGGTACTTGAAATATTTTATGATTATTTTCAAATTGCCAAGTACATGTGCCAGTCTGACATACAAAGTACTTTATCAGTCCCAAGGAGTTTTTTTACCCTTTTTATTGAATGCATTGGGGTGATACTGGTTAACAAAATTATACATATTCCACAACCCATCATCTGTCTGTATGTTGTGTTCACCACCCCAAGCCAAATCTTCCATCACCATTTATCGCCCTATGCCTTTCACCTCTCCCCCCAGCTCAGTCCCCAAATGTTAATATTTTGCAAACATTGAAATTAATGTAAGACATTTTGACTAATTTCTAAAGTAACAGCATAAAAAGTTACAATGTAAAATGAGTCAGATGCTAAACTGTATGGTAGACCTATCTTTTCTACCTTTAAACTTATTTGTTGAATAGATCTAATGTTTAAAGTAATCACAAGTGTTGACTATTATTTACAGTACCAATTATGATGCACTGATAATCTGGTGGCACCTTAACAATGGTCAACAATGGAAATTGTGAAGTAAGCATCTGAGGAACAAAGCTCATGTTTACTAGAAAGAGACACAGTACAGATGCACCTGTATAGAGCAGTGATTCTTAAGGTGGGGGCATGTGTTGTTTTAAAAATCACAGAATCTTTTTTTCCCCCCACAATGACAGAAAGCCTGTATTTGAATCAATAGTTGTAAATGCTAATATTGACCATGCACTACATGTTTACTTTTCATGCACTATATAATCACCCTATGAGATTGGTTCAATGATCTAGTCAACAAGTGTAGTGACTTGCCCCAAATCACAGAGTAAGTGATGGTGAAGATGGTATTTGAATCCAGACCTACAAGCTCTACAATTCAGGCTCTTAGGTTCTATGTAACATACTCTGCCTGTATACTACAAGAAGAAAAAAGTGAAGTCCCATGAAATCTCAGGTACATGGGCTACCTCCAGTCTGGGGGGTGGGAGGTGGAATGATACAGGTGTTTAAAAGCATACAATAGTTAAGTCAAAACATAAAAATGCCTTTCTGTTGTAACATTTTATGGCAGTCAAAATCTAAGAGAAAGTCATTCTTTAGAAGAAAAAGGAGGTCTTTAACCAGGCTAAACTTAAAATTCTAAATCGGAATATTTTCTGAGTGACTCCAATCCTATCCTGAGACACCTTTGTTGCAGGGACAGTGCACCAACAAGGAACAACATTTCACGGACAAGCTATATTGACATTCAAGAGCAAGGCTCCTGGCTCTGAGTTCAAGATGGCAGAGTAGGAAGATCCTCTCATTGACACCAAAACTACAACTATATATAGAACAGCTCTCTGAGAATGACCTGAAGACTAGCAGAGCAGATTTTCTACAGCTATGGATATAAAGGAAAAAGCCACATTGAAACAGGTAGGAGGGGTAGAGACTAAGTCTAGTCAGGACCTACCCTACCCCCACTCCCCATGGGGTGACTCACAAGTGGGAGGGATATCACAAATGTGGAGGTTGTCTCCAAAGAGAGAGGGGTCTGAGCCCTAGCCTGGGGGACCTGAACCAGGAAGAGGGGCCCCCATAACACCTGGCTTTCAAAACCAGCAGGGCTTACATCTGGGAGAGCCAAAGGGCTGTAGGTTACGCTCTTTGAGTCCCAGCACAGAGCAGTTTGAAAAGTACCTAGGTCATATGTGACGTTGACTAATTTTAGAATGTACTGAAAGGACAGGGCTCTGTTGGAACTTTCTCCTAAGGCAGAGGTGCTGGCAAGCACCCTTTCTCTAACCTAGCAGGTGCTATTTCTAACACTCTCCATTAACCTTGCTAGCACTGTTCACCCCACCGTGGCATTTCCTTGAGGACCCACCCAAGCTAGCACCCCTCCAAAGCAGCTCCTGCACTGCCACACTAGTGGGCGGCAGCCTCGGTCAGCACCAGCACACAGCACACAGCAGTGTATCTGCAACAGCATGGTCGGGCCTCTCAGCCAGCCACACTGAAGGCTTGTCCTGCACACCAGTGAGGGGCCAGGCCTTACAGCCAGGGGGCCAGGGATCAGCCTCACCTGTCAGTGTGCGTCCATAGAAGTTGTGGCCCAGCCACAACAGGAGGCCACACTAGTTCACCTGGGAACACCTCTGGAGCACTTGGCTTTGGTGACAAGGGTTATTCCACCACTGGGCCGCATAGGACACCTTCTAAATAAGGCTACTTTTTCAAGACCAGAAGATTTAGCTGACCTACCTAATACATAGAAAACAAACAGGCAAAATGGGGAGAGAAAACAATATGTTTCAAACAAATCAGCAAACAGGATAAAACCCCAGAAAAAGAACTAAATGAAACTGAGGTAAGCTGTCTACTAGATGAAGAGTTCAAAGTAATAGTCATAAAGATGCTCATCAAATTCTGCAGACAAGTGGATAAACTCAGTGTTAACTTCAACAGAGATAAAAATGTTTTGTGTGTGTGTGTGTGTGTGTGTGTGTGTGTGTGTTTTAAAGGATCTATCAGAAATTAAGAATAAGAATATAACAACTGAAATGAAAAATACACCAGAGGGGCCGAAACCGGTTTGGCTCAGTGGATAGAGCGTCGGCCTGCGGACTGAAAGGTCCCAGGTTCGATTCCGGTCAAGGGCATGTACCTGGGTTGCGGGCACATCCCCAGTGGGAAATGTGCAGGAGGCAGCTGATCGATGTTTCTCTCTCATCGATGTTTCTAACTCTCTATCTCTCTCCCTTCTTCTCTGTAAAAAATCAATAAAATATTAAAAAAAAAGAAAAAAGAAAAAAAAGAAAAATACACCAGAGGGAATCAATAGCAGATCAGTGATTTCTACTATCCTGTCTTCCTGATGAATAGCAATCAGGAAGACAGGATAGTGGAAATCACCCAATTGGAAGATCAAAAAGAAAAAGAATGAGGATAGCATAAGGGACCTTTGGGACAACATTAAGTGCATTAATATTTGATTCATGGGGGTCCCAGAAGAAGAGAGAGAGAAAGGGACAGAAAACCAATATGAGAAAATAATGGCTGAAAACTTCCCTATCTGGGGAAGGAAATAGACATCCATGTCTAGGAAGCATAGAGAGTCCCAAACAAGATGAATCCAAAGAGACACACCAAGAAAGATTATAATTAAATTGTTAAAAGTTAAAGAGAGAATCTAACAGTAGCAAGAGAATAACAACTAGTTACATAAAAGGGAATGCCCATAAAACTATCAGCTGACTTTTCAACTGAAACTTTTCAGGCCAGAGGGGAGTTGCATGATATATTCAACATGATCAAAGGGATAAAACCTACAACCAAGAATACCCAGCAAGGTTATCAAAATTAAAGAAGAGATCAAGATTTTCTCAGACAAGCAAAAGGTAAAGGAGTTCATTATCACTAAACTGGCATTACAAGAAATGTTAAAAGGAATTCTTTAAGTGGAAAAGAAAAGGCAAAAACTAGAAATAAATATATGGGGAGCTGTAGCTGATTTGGCTCAGTGTATAGACCGTCGGCCTGCGGACTGAAGGGTCCCAGGTTCGATTCCGGTCAAGGACACATGCCAGGGTTGCAGACTCAACCCCCAGTGCAGGAAGCAGCCAATCAATGATTCTCATCATTGATGTTTCTAACTCTCTCCCTCTCCCTTCCGCTCTGAAAATCAATAAAGATATATTAAAAAAATATATATGGCGGAAAAATGTCACTAGTAAAGGCAAACATATTTAGAGTATCCCCCAAAAAATGTATACACACACTTTGAATAATTATAAAGGCAGCATTTATTAACATACAGTTCATATTCAAAATTGAGATACCAGCTGTTAAAGTGTGTATACATTTTTTGGGGACACCATATATTAAAGAAAGTAGACCAAGCACTTATAAATCTAGTATGAAAATAATTAAAATGGCAATAAGTGACAGTGGAAGGATGGAAGGAGGGGAGAGAGAAACATCAATGTGAGACACACCGATTGGTTTCCTCTCTCACATGCACCCCGACAGGTCCAGGATTGAGCCTGCAACTGAGGTATGTGCCCTTGACTGGGAATAAAACCCGAAACCTTTCGGTTCATGGGTCGATGCTCTAACCACTGAACCAAATCGGCCAAGGCTCACTAATTACTTTAAATGTTAATTGACTAAGTGCTCCCTTAGAAAACAGGGTAACTGAATGGATAAAAAAACACATACATATGTTGCCTACATGAGACTCCAGATTGAAATATACAGAGACTGAAAATAAGGGATGGAAAAGATATTTCATGAAAATAAAAAAGAAGCTGGAATAGCAATATTTATATCAGACAACATAGACTTTAAAACAAAGGCTATAACAAGAGACAAAGAATGACCCAGTAATTCCACTTGGGGCACTTATCTGAAGAAAATGAAAGACTAATTTTAAAAGATATATGCACCCTTATGTTCACTGCAGTATTATTTACAATATCCAAGATATGGAAGCAACCTAGGTGTTCACCAATAAATGAATGGATAAAGAAGGACACACACACACGAGTATTACTCAGCCATGAAAAAGAATGAAATCTTGCCATTTATGACAACATGGATAGACCTGGAGGGTATTATGCTAAGTAATATAAATCAGAGAAAAATACTGTATTTCACTTTTTTATGTATGGGATTTTAAAAAACTAAACAAGTGACAAAACAAATAGACTCAGAGATACAGAAAAACTAATAGTTGCCAGAGGGTTGGGCAGTGGGGTTATGGATGACATCCCTTTATGATAAAAATCCTCAGATTGAGTATTGAAGGAACATACCTCAACATAAAGGCCATATATGACAAGGTCACAGCTAACTTCATACTCAATAGTGGGAAATTGAAAACTTTTTCTCTAAGATCAAAAACACTCAAGTTGCAGATACAAAATTAACCTACAGAAATCAGTTGTATTTCTGTATTAATGCAATATCTGAAAAAAATAAAACTGTCCCATTCATAATGAAAATAAAAACCTAGGACTAAGACTATATAACAAAAACTAAGACTTTAAAAAAAAAAAAGAAATTGAAGAAGACACAGAAAGACATTCTGTGTTCATGGATCAGAAGAATTAATATTATTAAAATGTTTTTATTACCCAAAGCTATCTACAGATTCAATCCCTATCAAAATTTCAATGGCATTCTTCACAGAAATAGGAAAAAAATCCTAAAATGTCTATAGAACTACAAAAGACAATAGCCAAAGCAAACCTGAGGAAGAACAAATTGGAGGCATCACACTTGCTGATTTCAAACTGTAGTTGACCCTTAAACACCGCAGGGGTTAGGGACGTGGAGTAAAAACTATATAGCGGCCCTCTGCACGCACTGATTCCCAATTGTGGGTTCAAATACAGCTGATGCTCGGCTGGTGTGGGTCAGTTGAGTGCCATCCAGTGCACCAGGAGGTTGTCCATTTGATTCCTGGTCAGGGCACATGCCTGGGTTGGGAGCTTGATCCCCTGTAAGGGTGGGCAGGGGGTGGCTGATGGATGTTTCTCTCTCATCATTTTTTTTTTCTCTCTCTCTCTCCCTGTCTCTGAAATCAATAAAAACATATAACACACAAGTGATTTTTAAAGTCTGTGTATAAGAGGACCCTTGTAGTTCAAGACCACTTTGTTCAAGGGTTAACTGTGTACTACAAAGCTACAGTAATTAAAACAGTGTGGTCTTGCATAAAAATAGACACATAGACCAACAGAATGGAATAGAGAGCCTGCATATACAGTCAACGAATATTTAAAACCAGGGAGCCAAGAACACCTCTTCAACAAGTGGTGCTGGGAAAACTGGATAACACATGCCAAGAAAACAAAATTGGACCCCTATCTTACACCACAAAAATCAACTCCACATACATCAGGGACTTAAGATCTAATGCCAGAAAATTCCTAGAAGAAAACATAGAAAAGAGGTCCTTGGCATTGGTCTTGACAATGCTTTTTATAATAAGACACCAAATGCACAAACAAAAACGTAAAACAATAAATAAAACTACATCAAACTTAAAAGCTTTGGTCCAGCAAGAGAAACAACCAATAAATGAAAAGGTAACCTATAGCTTGGCCAGTGTGGCTCAACGGTTGAACATTGGCCTATGAACCAAGAGGTCATGGTTCAATTCCTGGTCAGGGTACATGACTAGGTTGCAGGTTCGATCCCAGTAGGGGGGCCTGCAGGAGGCAGCTGATCAATGATTATCATCATGGATGTTTCTATTTCTCTCTCGCTCTCCTTTCCTCTCTGAAGTCAATAAAAATATATTTTAAAAAATACTTGTAATAAAGAAAAGGTAAGTTATAGAATGGGGAAAAAATTTTCAGATCATATATTGAATAAGGGGTTAATATTCAAAATATATAAGGTACTCAGATAACTCAATAACAACAACAAAAAAAAACCCGATCCAATTTAAAAGTGGGCAGAGAAACAAAAATAGGAAATTTTCCAAAGAAGATATTTATATGGCCAACAGTTCTATGAACAGATGCTCAACATCAGTAATCATCAGGAAATACAAATCAAAACCACAATGAGATATCACCTCATTCTGGTTAGAATGGCTATTATAAAATAGAGAAGAGATAAGTGTTAGTGAGGATGTGGAGAAATGGGAACCCTGTACACTGTTGATGGGAATAAAATTGTTTTTAGCCACTGTGGAAAATAATATGGAGGTTTGTAAAAAAATTAAAAATAGATTTACCATATGATCCAGCAATTTTATGACTGGGCATATACCCAACAGAAATGAAAACAGGATATCTAAAAGATATATGCATTCGCTTGTTAACAGCCATCATATGAAAACAACCTGAATAGCAAAAGAAACAATCAACAAATGACCTCTTTTCTATGTCTTCTTCTAGGAGTGCCTACCAACAGATGAATGAATAAAGAAAATGTGATTATATACACACACAATGAAATATTATTTATCTAATACATAGACACAAACATAGTCAAAGAAAATAAAGAAACAAAAGAATATGTTCCAAAAGAAAGAACAAGATAAAACTTAAGGGAACATCCTGAATGAAATGAGAATACGTGATTTACCTGATAAAGAGTTCAAGATAATGGTCATAAAGATGCTCACTGAATTCAGAAGAATGGATAAACACAGTGAGAACATCAACAAAGAGATATAAAATATAAAGTACAAAATAGAAGTCACAGGGCTAAAGAATATAGTCACGGGGAAAGCACAGTAAAGGGGTTCAAAAATAGACTAGATGAAGCAGAAGAAAGGACCAGTGAGATCAAAGATAAGGCAGTGGAACTTATACAATCAGAGAAGAAAAAAAAAAGAATAAAGAAAGTTAAGATAGCTTAAGGGACTGATGGGATAACATCAAGCCAATAAACATTCCCATTCTAGGGGTATCAAAAGAAGAAGAAGAGAAAGGGGCAGAAAAGTTATTCAATTTCTGGTCAGGGCACATACCTAGGTTGTGGGTTTGATCCCCAGTCGAGGTGCATATAGGAGGCAACTGATCGACGTTTCTCTCTCACATCAATGTTTCTCTCTCTCTCTTCCTCTCTCTAAAATCAATAAAAACATATCCTTGGGTGAGGATTTTAAAAAATACTCATACAACCCAGAGCAATCTATAGATTCAGTGCAATCCCTACTAAAATTCCAATGACATTTTTTTTATAGCAATAGAAAAATATTGGTCCCAATATCATTGAACCAGGGCCAGGGATTGAGCCTGCAACTGAGGTATGTGCCCTTGACCGGAATCAAACCCAGGACCCTTCAGTCCGTGGGCTGACACTCTATCCACTGAACCAAACCGGTGCCGTGGTCGGCAAACTGCGGCTGGCGAGCCACATGCGGCTTTTTGGCCCCTTGAGTGTGGCTCTTCCACAAAATACCACGTGTGGGCACACATACAGTGCGATTGAAACTTCGTGGCCCATGCGCAGAAGTCGGGTTTTGGCCTGGGCGAGTCTATTTTGAAGAAGTACTGTTGATATTTGGCTCTGTTGACTAATGAGTTTGCCGACCACTGGGCTAGGGCAATCCTACTTAATTTTAAAATTGAGGTATTTACATACAGTTGGGTACAAAAATCTAAAGAGTACAGCTTTGTGATTTTTAGCCAGTGTTTATAATCGCCATGTAATCACTACCAGATCAAGATACAGACTATCTTCAGCACCCCGGAGGCTCCCCTGTGCCTGCACTTGGTTAATATTCACCCCTCTCCAAGGGTGAGCACTTTCCCTGCGTCTACCAGCATACATTGTGTTAGCTGGTTCTGAGCTTCATAGAAATGAATTCACTCAACATGGACTCTTGTGCTTGGTGTCTGTCCAACATTAGTCCGTGAGATCTATCCTTGCCGTGTGTAGCAGTAGTTTGCCCTTTTTGTTGCAGTATACTATTCCATCGTACGAATATACCACAGTTTATCCATTCTGTTGTTGATGGAAACTTGGGTTTTCAATTTGACTGTTATGAAAAACATAACAGTGTTTTTGTGTCTAGGCCTTGCATCGCAGAAAAGGTGGCAAGTGGGGTATCGCATGCCTCGGTGACAATTGCTCTGCTAAGGCCATGAGCAATCTACAACTTGATTTAGTGCTTTGGAACAAGCCAAAACCTCAGATGCAATTTAACATTGATAACTGCAGCACAATAGATGTTTTCATATTGATTCCCAAACCAAGGGAAATGTCTTCAAAAGCTCTGCCAAAGTCGGGAGTCTTAAAATGTGGACTATTCGTGTATTAATACAATGAATTGTCTTGAAGTATATGCTATTACTATTACTTATGACTTTCAACAAACCTACATGTAACTTTTTTCTCTTAATTTACTTTTTCTCCAGTGTTAGGAAGGATTTTTGCTATTTGAAGGAGTGGATTATGAGGGCGGTGACAACAACAAAGACAGTGATAACAACTCAGGGGGTTTGCATTGGAATCTACCTCAGGATCCTAGAGAGGAGCTGACTCAGCAGAGTGGAAAAAGCAGGTACTAGAATCAGACCTATCTCTCCGCACGGGCATTAAGGGTAGGGTCCCAACTGAGTAGTCTCTCTAGCTTTCATGCTTGGCACATGGTGGGCGTTCAATAAATGCTTGTTGAATGAGTGGTTCAAACATCAAATACTATTTTTTCTCAGGTTATGAATTTCTAAAATTAGAAACTACTTGAAAGATGGCACACTTTTGTTTTTTTACTTTTCATTGAAATAATTCTCAACATACAGAAAAGTTGCAAATATTGAGAATTTTGACATATTTATATTCACCAGGATTTAACATTTTGCTACATTTTCTCTTTTGCAAAAAGACTATTTTAGAGCAGTTTTAGATTTATAACAAAACTAGAGGCCTGGTGCACAACATTTGTGCACTGGGGGTGGGTGGGTGGGTGGCCCTCATCCTGGCCTCCAATATTGGGTTGGCTATTTTGGGTCTTTTGCCTCTCCATATAAACTTTACAATTAGTTTATTGACATCCACAAAATTACTTGCTGGGATTTTAATTGAATTGCATTGAATCTATAGATCAAGTTGAGTAGACTGACATCTTGACAATATTGACCATATCTGCTTGTTAATGAACATGGAATTTACATTTGTTTAGTTCTTCTTTGATTTTATTCATTGAAATTTTGTAGTTTTCCTAAAAAAATCTTGTACATATTTTGTTAGATTTATATCTAAATGTTTCATTTTTTTGGAAGCCAATGTAAATGGATTGTATTTTAAATTTCAAATATCACTTGTTCATTATTGGTATATAGGAAAGCAGTTGACTTTTGTATATTAACCTTGTATTCTACAACCTTGCTATAATTGCTTATTAGTACCAGGCGTTTTTGGTTGATTTTTTTTCTCCATAGACAATCACATCATTTGTAAATAAGGATAGTTTTACGTCTTCCTTCTTAACCTATACACCTTTCATTTCCTTTTCTTGACTTATTGCATTAGCAAGGCCTTCCAGTATGGTGCTGAAAAGTAGTGGTGAGAAGGGCTATTCTTGCCTTGTACCTGTTCTTAGTGAGAAAGCTTTGAGGTTCTTGCCATTAAATATGATGTTAGCTGTAGGTTTGTTGTAAATAATTTTTAAAAAATATATTTTATTGATTTTTTACAGAGAGGAAAGGAGAGGGATAGAGAGTTAGAAACATCGATGAAAGAGAAATATCGATCAGCTGCCTCCTGCACACTCCCTACTGGGAATGTGCCCGCAATCAAGGTACATGCCCTTGACCGGAATCGAACCGGGGACCCTTCAGTCCGCAGGCAGACGCTCTATCCACTGACTCAAACCGGTTAGGGCTGTTATAAATAATTTTTATCAAGTTGAGGAAGTTCCCCTTTATTCCTAGTCTGCTAAGTTTTTATCATGAATGGGTGTTGGTTTTTGTCAAATTTTTTTTCTACATCTAGTCATATGATCCTGTGACTTTTCTTCTCTGGCCTTTATTTAAAAAAATTTGATTTTAGAGAGAGGAAGGTTGCCTCCCACATGCACCCCAACCTGGGGCCGGGGATCAAGCCTGCAACCAAGGTACATGCCCTATCCACTGAGCCAAACAGGCTTGGGCTTGAGGCTCATTTATATGTCTTCATATGCCACAGCCCATCATTTAAATAATGGACATCTCTGATGCCAATTCCTTTGTTGACTTTCTCCGTATCTTCTGCAGACATCGCATGGCTCCGACACACAGAGTGTGCTGTCTTCCTCCTGCTGGGATAGCGACAATCGTATCTGCGGCAGCAGCAGGGTCAAGTTTAGCTCTAGGTGAAGTTAAGCTTGGACACATGATATTTGCTCCACGGAGTACAAATTTGATGGCTCCTTTTCAACCTGCTAGTGTGGCACCATAAAGGGATATTTGTAAGCCATCTTAGGGTTGGATAAAAAGGCCCTTCTCTTTGTCTGAAAAATAGTAACTCGCCATTTACTATAAGGATTTCTATATGTTTATGGCATCGCACTATTTTGACAGGATCTTTCTTAGGCATGATTTGATTAAGCTATGGTTCAATAACTGGAAATTGCTCTATTAGTTGGTTCTTAATACCCTTTATAATAACTGATGTTTTCAACTGGATGCAATCGGACACATTGGCTTTTTCTTCACATTTCTTGAACATGATCCAAGGTGAAGGGGGCAGTGATAGGGAAGGACTGGAATGGGGAAAAAATTTAATTAGCAAGGTTCCAGGAGATCCCCTTACACCAGGAAGGCCGGCACTGACAGTCAACGCTGTTGTTCTTCTCAAACAGCTTTTAGAAGCCAAGATTTGAGTGTCAGGTGTACTCATATATATTAGGAGGGTTACTGCACCTAAGTTCTCTCAGTGAAAAGTACTAGGGAATATACCAGTGATGGCGAACCTATGACACGCGTGTCAGAGGTGACACGCGAACTCATTTTTTTTGGTTAATTTTTCTTTGTTAAATGGCATTTAAATATATAAAATAAATATCAAAAATATAAGTCTTTGTTTTACTATGGTTGAAAATATCAAAAAATTTCTATATGTGACACGGCACCAGAGTTAAGTTAGGGTTTTTCAAAATGCTGACACACCGAGCTCAAAAGGTTCGCCATCACTGGAATATACCCAAGAACTACTGAATCAGAGTTTGCATTTTTAACAAAATTCCCAGGTGATTCATACGCACATTACAGTTAGAGAAGCATTCCCACCTAAAGTAAATGACTTCAGTGTCCAAGCCAGCTGTTGGAGCACCAACCATTGCAGCTGCATCTCAGGCATTAGGAAGGAGGAAGGAGACAAAAGGACTCACCCCCCTGTTGAGTCAGCTTCCATTAATCCCAAAAGACTCTAGCAACAATTCTGCAAAATCTCATTGCTTACAATTTAGTCACATGGCTGACGAAGGCAGGGAAGCAGGGAAATGTAGCCTTTCGGTTGGGCCCATTGCCAGCTGGAATACAATTTGCATTCTGTTTCTAAGCACAGAGGGAATGATGGCTATTAGGTAAGTTACATGAGTCTCTGCTCCTCTGGGTTTCCTTGGTCATTCTGTGTCTACTCTGCATGCCGGGAAGTTGTTGGCAACAGAGCCAGCACTGGGCACAGCTGCCAATCACCCACATGTGGCCAGCAGGGGGTTCACCGTGGTCAACCGAGAATTGAAGCACAAAGGTAAAATCTGCCTCTTATGTAGCCTCTGTTACCATCATGCCCAGCCACCCCACCTTCTGCCTGGCCCCAGACTGGAGCGAGAGGGCCAGAATTCATGGAGCAACAAGATAGAAGAGAAAGTGTGGAAGGCACAGTTAAAAACAATCGCTCAGCTGGCAGAGACTAGACACAGACTTCCCAGGTTTCAACCCTAGTGCCATCACTTACTAGCTTTGGATTTTCAGTTAATGATGGCCACTTGAACTTTCAGTAAGTTAACCTACTGATGAAAGGCCTCACGAGACCTCAATGTCTTCGTGTTAAAGTACAGGGCTACCTCCCAGGCTGCTGTGAAGATGCAATGGAAATAACAGGAGAAGCTCTTGGAGCACTGGCCCGTCCAGAGCTCTCCATACACCGTGGTTATCACTGAGCAGAGCTGCCAAGAGCAAAGGTACAACCTCCCTGGAGATGGCTGCAACCCTGACCGTGGACTCGGGCCCAGAGAAGCACAGAAACTACCAACTTGGAAGCATCATTGATTTACTTATTTACTTAATACTTTCAGCCCAGTATTCCCACCAGTTTAGAGAAGATTGTAACTAGCTTTGTTTACTGTTCAACACCCTTGTGACAAATACCCAGGATTTGTCTTCTGTTGCTTTGTGGGACAGTGTCTTCTCTTTCCCCGAGTTTGGTTTCCCTTCTTGACTACTTGAAATACTTCCAACACATTTTTAAAAACAATCCTTAAAAAAAGAAAAACAAACCAAAAAAGCCAACGTGCTAGTGACAGCATTTGCCCCCTTCCTCTCTACAGTCAAGCCGGCAGCCACCACTGTCCCTGTACAAGGACTGAGCAAACCTTGGCAAGTCCACATCCGTCACTGGATACACTAAAGGCCACACTATCATTTTCTTAGACAAACATCCTGGGCAATTTGGCTTCTTTTACTTTGCCATGAATACAACCGGTTTGCTGAGTACCTTAGGGGACCTTGAAAGACTAGTTCTTGTTATTTTAACCTCCTCACTGGCTTATCATCCTGGTTTATAATTCTAACATATTTGCCAAAGGCTTCCAGGTACCACTGAAAGAAACACCTAGGATAAACAAAGAGCATTTTTTCTTCCTGAGATCCGTATCTCCTTGACACGATGGGAAAGGTTTAAGGAACGCCAAGGAGCACGTGAGCGTGTGTCTTTGTGCCTGTTTATGCGAAACTAGGACTAAATGTTCCGTGCAGCAACACTACCTTAGCTCCTTCTGCCACTTCCCAGTTTGGCTGAGGCTGTTGGAACTAATCCTTCTGCCCTTTAAACCTCTGATTTAAGGTAAAATGACACCTGGTTGGCTACTTCAGGGACCAGGGAAGTGAGTGAGAAGAGTAACAGTGCCCCCTGCAGGTGTGTGCCGATGGCAGTGAATTTGACCATCTCAGGGACCTTCTGAGCAGCAGGATGGTGTCCCCTGGTGTCTGGCCTGATGGTACATGCAAACTGGTGATTAATGGTGAATATAAGCCTGATGCTTATTGCCAGTATCTCACAAAGGTTAGAGACCAGACCCTCCGTGTTATCTCTGCAGTGGCCTGTGGGAGCTACAGCTAGGTCTGTTCAGCTGGTTTTCCCATTTCTCTTTTCCTGCTACCGGGACCCCTTTTCCTTCAGGAAATTTCTCCTCCACTCCAGGTGAATCTAGTGGGTTTTACAAGCCACAGTATTTGATCCTGTCTTTAGAGGCGAGATTATGGTCCAACCAGGTCAATCTTAGTGCTGCATCCTTGTTGAGTAAGCTAGAAAGCCGGAGGTCATCCTGGATACCAACCTCTCCCTTACCTACCATATCCAGGCTGTCAAGGGCTCCCAGTGAACTCCTAGATTTCCTTCCTGTCCATCTCTCCTATCACCCTCATCACCGCTGCTATCATCTGTCTCCTGAACAACTGTATACTAGGTGTACCGGTTAATAATGCGGATTTGTTTCAATAGATGGAGTTACACCTATGTTGATATATATGCGATTTGATATGTATGCTATTTTGTTGTATTGACAGCAAGCTTCAAAACTTCATATGTCAAATTTTCTCAAGGTGTTAACATCATAGATATTTTTACGCTTTAAAATGTCGAATTTTGTGCTAAAAAAAGAGCATTTGCGGGAAGTTTTAATTCATTACTTTATTTTGAAGAAAAGTGCTGCTGAAAGTTATTGTATACTTCGGGAAGCTTATGGTGAACATGCTCCATCCATCCATCTCAAGATATTTGTGAACGCTGGTTTAAACGCTTTAAAAGTGATGAGTTCTATGTGAAAGACAGAACGTCAACCGAAAAAGTTTGAAGACCAACAATTACAAGCATTATTGGATGAAGATGCGTGTCAAACTCAAAAACAACTTGCAGAAAGATTAAATGTTGCTCAGCAAATGATTCTGATCGTTTACAAGCAATGGGAAAGATTTGAAAGGAAGGAAAATGGGTGCCACATCAACTGAATGAAAGACAAATGGAAAACCGAAAAGTCATCAGTAAAATATTGCTTCAACGACATGAAAGAAAGTCTTTTTTGCATCGAATTGTGACTGGCGATGAAAAGTGGATTTATTTTGAGAATCCCATATGCACAAAATCATGGGTTGATCCAGGTCAACCATCAACATCGACTGCAAGGCCAAATCGCTTCGGAAAGAAGACAACGCTCTGCATTTGGTGGGATCAGGAAGGTGTGGTGTATTATGAGCTTCTAAAACCAGGTGAAAACATTAATACTGATCGCCACCGAAAACAAATAATCAATTTGAACCACGCTTTGATTGTAAAACCACTATAATGGGCCAGAAGACATGGCAAAGTAATTTTGTTTCATGATGACGCACCATCACACACTTCAAAACCAGTTAAAGACATGTTAAAAGATCTTGCCTGGGAAGTATTAACCCACCCGCCTTATTCACCAGACCACATCCTCATCAACATTTATTAACACCAACTGAAAACGGCAATGAAGGATGCCAAATGAGTGATACAGCTGGATCCTTTCATGGTGGCACCCCCCGGCCCTCCAAAAGAAGATGTGACCAGATTTATTTTACCTCGAGGAATTTTGTCCTTGAACTTGCACCAGTTCTGTAAATCTTACCTTTTAAGGAATGTTCTTTCTTCATGAACTAAGGCCTAAGATGTGCTCTGTATCTAATATCTAAGACAGGTAACCTGACAATAACATGAAAGAATTGAAGTATTTGGTTAAAAGATCAGAAAGCGATAACTTTAACCATTATTTTAACATCAAATACCAATACTATTATGAAGACAAACCACTGATCTGGGAGATAAAAGAGGTGAGAGTAAGAGAATAAAAAGACTGGATGGAAAAGTAAGGATTGTTATTTTAACTGAGGTGGTCAGGCGGTCCAAGAAGGTGACATTTGTACAGAGACCTGAATGAAGAGAGGGATGGATCCATCAAATACCTGGGGATGAGAGAACAGCAAAACACAAGATTCTGAGGCAGAAGACTGCTTGGTCCAGGAAGAAGAGAGCTAGAATGCACGGGGTGAAGGGGGGTTCGGAGGAGTAGCCTGTGGTGCCGCCCAGCACATATGTGTGTGGACTGTGATCTCCCACTAGAGCCTAGGC